ATAAACAAATTTGTGGCCACTGTAACAACTCCTTAAAGACGAAGGTAACGGGAATTGAATGTTATATCTGTAAGACTAGATTCCATTCGGCTTGTACAGGAGTGAGTAACACTACGGCATTGAGAGCTGGCCACTTGCTCTGGGTGTGTAAAAATGACCTGCCAGCTTGGAATATCCTAAAAAACCTTCTAGATAACATGACGCATGATCGGAAAACATTCATTGGAAGCCTACCAGCCATCCAGAAGGAGTGGGAAAGGAACAACAATTCTAATATACAAGGGGCGGAGGCTATAGTCAGGGATGAAACTGAGGCTGAAACTCAGGAAGTTGTAAACTCTGACTCAGTAGGCCAGGATGTAGATGACAGTAAACTAGAAAGTGTACCAGACAGCACTGACAGCTCGATAGGTACAGACACTACGACGGTTCTCGATAGAGCAATTCAGAACAGAAGGACAGACTTATGCAAATTTTATGCAAAGGGCATATGCAGACATAGATATGCTGGTAATAAGAAAGGATTAGAATGCAGTTACCAACATCCCAAAAAATGTTTAAATATGCTTAGGAAAGGTGAGTGTCGATTTGGATCAATATGTAGGTTTTTCCATCCTGACATGTGCCAAACCTCACTGGAGGACAGAAAATGCTATGACCTCAGCTGCCCACACTTTCCCGTGAAAGGCACGGAACGCTACATAAAGAGTGGCAAGCAGGATAATGAATTTGGAGGAAACTCTATAAATTTTTTATACCAGACCGGCAGAGAATTCAAAAGGAGCAGCATGGAGAGTGTATGGAACTGGATGCCAGATCCACTTGCATTCCAGAATTACAGATACAATTACCCACCGAAAAGGAACTACAACTACGACAGAAAACTGCCCTACAACAATCAGTACTGGTCAGAACAAACTCATTATGTCCACGAATAATGGACTTGCCGAAAAAGTCTCCCATTCAAACTATCGCTAATAGAGTAACCTCATTCATCTTTGCCAACATACAAGGACTGAAAACAAGAACAAACAACAAAATAGGGTTCATAAATGGCCTCCTCACGGAGTCAAATGCAGTATTTGGAGCTTTCACAGAAACCCATGCAGGGGAATTGTTGGACAGTGAGATCTGGATTCCAGGATATAACCTATACAGGTGTGATAGGAAAATTAGGTCACATGGAGGAGTGGGTCTGTATATTAGGGAAGACCTTGTATGCTCGGAGCTCCTAAACGTTACAAATGAGGTGGTAGAGGTACTGGGATTAAAAATAGAGAAAATAAATTTAGTGATTATACTAATATACAAACCGCCAGATGAAACGGCTGAGGAATTCACAGAACAGATAAACAAAATAGAGAATAGCCTTGTTAATTTGGAGAACCCGATACCTGATATTATCTTCCTAGGTGACTTCAACTTGCCTAGTCTCAGGTGGAAAATAACAAACAATAATATTATACCAGGAAATCTATCAGGACCTAACCAACCACAGATTAGAGAACTACTTAGATTCTGTGACAAATTTTCACTCAATCAGCAGATATCGGAGCCAACGAGAAATGAAAATATTCTAGATCTGGTCTTTACGAACAATGAAGACATTATCAGAGACATTACGATATCAGATACCACATATTCAGATCACAAGCTCATTGAAGTGCAAACGACCATCAATACTCAGAATAGACCAAAAACGTTGATAAAGCGAGAGGGGCTATTCAGTAAATTCAATTTTAATAATAAAAGGATAGACTGGGAGATAATAAACAGGGAACTTACAAACATTCCATGGGGAACTGTTCTAAGTAATACAAGTCCTACAGAAGGAATAGAAAAACTGACTTCAGAAGCGTATCAAGTCTGTCTGAAACATGTTCCTTTGAGGAAAGCCAGAAAGAGATCTAACGTAGAAAGAGAACGCAGGCGACACTATAAACGCAGGAAAAAAATAACGGAACTGCTTATGCAGACACGAATTTCCCGTCAAAGAAGGAATAATTTAAATAGGGAGATTGAAGAAATCGAGCGGAAATTGAAACACTCATATGAAACTGAAGAAAGGCAGTTAGAACAGAAAGCCATTCAGGAACTAAAGAAAATTCCAAAATATTTCTTCTCATATGCGAAATCAAAAGCAAAAACCACTGCCAGTATTGGACCTATTCGTACAAGTGAAGGTTCATACACGGAGGATGACAAAGAAATTAGTGAAATCCTAAAAAAGCAGTATGAGGACATGTTTAGCACTCCAATAAACAACATGAAGGTGGAAGATCCAGACAATTTCTTTATGCGGGATATACAAACCCCTGTAAATATAACTGATATAAACACGAGCGCACTAAATTTTGAAAAAGAAATTGAAAACATGCCCATGCACTCGGCCCCAGGTCCAGACTCATGGAATTCAATATTTATAAAGAAATGCAAAGTGCCGGTAGCACAGGCACTCAGTATAGTGTGGAGGAAGAGCTTGGACACAGGGGAGATACCAGATGCACTTAAAGTAGCAGACATAGCCCCTCTACACAAGGGAGGGAGCAAAGCATTGGCAAAAAAATTATAGACCAGTTGCACTAACATCGCACATCATAAAAGTATTTGAGAGAGTGATTAGGAGTCAGGTCACCAATTTCATGGAGACCAATGACCTTCACAACCCAGGCCAACATGGATTTCGAGCGGGAGGATCGTGCCTCTCACAGCTACTTGAGCACTACGACAAAGTCACTGAGGCATTAGAAGAGAAACAGAATGCTGATGTGATATACACGGACTTCGCAAAGGCTTTCGATAAATGTGACCATGGCGTGATAGCACACAAAATGAAGTCAATGGGAATAACCGGTAAAATAGGACGCTGGATACTCAGTTTTCTGTCAAACAGGACTCAGCGAGTAACTGTCAACCATATAAAATCTAATCCAAGTGCAGTGAAAAGCTCTGTACCTCAGGGTACAGTCCTTGCACCGCTGCTTTTCCTTATTCTCATATCAGATATAGACAAAAATACAAGTCACAGCTTCGTGTCATCCTTTGCAGATGACACAAAAATCAGTATGAAAATTACCTCGGCTGAGGACATTGAAAAACTTCAAGCTGATATAAATAAAGTTTTCGACTGGGCATCAGAAAATAACATGATGTTTAATAGTGATAAATTCCAGGTACTCAGGTACGGTAAAAATGAGGACCTTAAACATAATACAGAGTACAAAATACAATCAAATGTGCCCATAGTAGGAAAACAACATGTAAAGGATTTGGGGATAATAATGTCTGACGACCTAACGTTTAAGGAGCATAACCAAGCAAATATTGCGACAGCCAGAAAAATGATAGGATGGATTACGAGAACTTTCAAATCCAGGGATCCCATCACAATGGTTGTACTCTTCAAGTCACTTGTGTTGTCCCGTCTTGATTACTGCTCAGTACTCACTTCCCCCTTCAGAGCAGGAGAGATTGCTGAAATAGAGGGAATACAGAGAACATATACGGCACGCATAGACGCAATAAAGCACCTAAATTATTGGGATCGTCTCAAAGCCCTCCAAATGTACTCACTAGAAAGAAGACGAGAGAGATATCAAATAATATACACCTGGAAGATACTGGAGGGCCAAGTACCAAATCTACACAGTAAAATAACAACGTACTGGAGTAAACGATATGGAAGAAAATGTAGAATAGAACCAGTGAAGAGCAGAGGTGCCATAGGCACAATCAGAGAACACTGTATAAACATCAGAGGTCCGCGGTTGTTCAACGTCCTCCCAGCAAGCATAAGAAATATTGCCGGAATAACCGTGGACATTTTCAAGAGGAAACTAGATTTATTCCTCCAAGGAGTGCCGGACCAACCGGGCTGTGGTGGGTATGTGGGCCTGTGGGCCGCTCCAAGCAACAGCCTGGTAGACCAAACTCTCACAAGTCAAGCCTGGCCTCGGGCCGGGCTTGGGGAGTAGAAGAACTCCCAGAACCCCATCAACCAGGTGTCAACCAGGTATTAGGGGACTCTGGCGGCGGACTCTGGTCACCACCTCAGTCCAGGTGGTGACCAGGAAGGTTCAGTGGGGTTATGTGTATGGGAAGCTGATTTAACCAGAGAAAGTAGATTAATGTGTTAATTATTATCAGAGTATATTGATGTAATTAAATTGGAAAAACCCGACGGCCTTTAATTACCTTCCATGTGTTCTTTCATTGCGTTCCTGTATAAACCTAGAGGTACACCTCAAGGGTTCTGGTGTAGGGAATTACACGGTGGTAGTGACGGTTCCTGAGGCACCAGAGTTACAGCTGTGTTCGAAATGAACCCGGGTTCAGCGATCACGATAATTTTCCCTTGTTCGTTCCCCCTTATTGACTGGCCTTACACTCAAGATGTGTTTACCCTCCTACTGTGGCTCACCCCACATCCTTGTGCAATCCCTCTCTTAATAGCACGTTGTATTTTGACGTATACGTTACATGAAGCCAAAAACTGATGTACAAAAAAAAAATGGTAGAGGTTCGCGAAAACAATTGACGTGGTGTCGATTTCTGTTCGCGGATCCTCGGGTTGGAAAGGTTCGGGAACTTTAGTACAACAATTTAGTGACGTTGTAATTGCTCACTAGGAGGGACCGTCCTGTGACTCACCTGTGTGTCTGGCCGCCAGGCGTCGCCTCAGTGTCTTCTTCCCGCCAACGTTATGTATAGATCCTCAGGCCATGAAACTCAATCCCTTCAAGTCTGAGACTTTCTCACTCTTGGTATTTGAGATTGGAGCTCTAAATCTTCTCTGATGTTGTTGTGATGGATTGTTTAAGCGTAGGTTAGACATTATATGAATGAGTTTGTGTGGCTAGAAATAACTGCTTCCTCGAAGGCCAGAAGGTCTTCTGCAGATTTCTTGATTCTTATCTTCTTATCTGTTCCCCATATAATTATACAAAATATTTTGGTCATATCATGTTGGGGAAAATTGACAGGGATAGAAATACTGCAAGTTTTAGCTGATAATTTATTTACACTAATCAAACAACAATAATAATTATTAAATAAACAATGATAAATCATGCAAATAAAATGAATAAACTTTTAAAGCAATATTTGATAGAAATATTCCCACGAGCCTCACTAGGTTTCACCTCTTTACCTTTAAAAGAGAACGTTTTGTTTGTCTGAATTTGGAGGCTTGTAGGGGGAATGGTCTGTGGTATGGGACGGACATAGGCAAGTCGGGGTAAGCCTAAATTATATGCTTTAAGAAAGATAGCCTGTAACCCCAACCCTCTGTGCAAGTTTTATGAAATCGAAGAGATCGTACATTGCGGGATCATTCTGCAACTTAGAGATGAGGGCTCATCTCAACCAACACACTAAGGGATCGCATTTCAACTCATCATGATATCCACTACACCATCTTGAGAGTGGTGATATCGTCATAGAGAACAGAATCAACCCTGGTGTTGTCATACTTGTCGCTCTCACGTGACTTATCATAGTAGACTGTGTTGTCGAATGATGCCATTTCCCTGTGTGCCATGGGTTGAGGGGTGCCTGGTGCCATGGGTTGAGGGCTGCCTGGTGCCATGGGTTGAGGGCGTGCGTGTGCCTCAGATTGGATACCATGGAATAGTTCTGAAACATGAAACATTAAAATAACATTGAAACGTCTTACATTGAATTATAAAACCATTACGCTTTAAATTTTATGCTGGAATCTGCTGCGGTCACATGTGGGAGACAAGTGGCGCGTCCATATTGGTCAGCTACGAACTTCTAGCATGTACACCTGTAATCAGTCTCTGAGAAAAGCAACAATGTGTAGAGCTACTGTAATGAAGAGGCTCAGGGGGGGGGGGAGAACTGAGACGTGTGCCTGTTGCAAACATGATTAATACCAATGTCCCCTGCATGGGGAGCACCCACGGCTCTGGGCTGGTTATCTCCTGTTGTGATCTTAATAAAGCTGGGAAATGAAAGGTGGACTCTAAACACACTTCAACATCTCAATAGATATATGTGTACCCTATTTCAGTGATTCTGAATTAAATTGAAATCGAATATTTGTCGCATATTTTAATTCTTTGCTGCATTGCATCTTAAGGAAGTGATACATCTTAAATGATTAACAAAGCAAAATATTGGCTATGCATCAATCATCTCTTATGGATTTTAATTTTTTGAAAAGGGATCAAGATTCAGAGGAAATTATATAGGATTGAAAACTGCTTAGATAATAGTTCATAGAGGACAGTATTCCTTTCCACATCCACTTTGCTGACAAGGATTTACCTGATAAAGGTAATTACCTTACCTTTATCAGGTAAGATAATTACGACTATATAGCACAAGGAGCTGGGATATGAAGACAATGAACTGGGATATTAGGACAAGGAGCTGTATATGAGGACATAAAGGTGGGATTTGAGGACAGGGAGCTGGGATGCGACGGACGGAAGGAACGGTGACCAACCACTTGGACCTTCGGGGATCGAACGCTGAGTAGTAAGAGGTTGAGGCCGTCGGTGACTCAACCAATTGGTCGAGTCAAGATCTCTAAAAGACTTGTGTGCACGGGGACCCGTAGCACAGTAGCCAGCGCGGTCGGCTCACACTAGAATGGTCGCAGATTGATCAATGTAGGCAGGACAGAGACGTTTCTGCACGTTTCCTTTCACCCGATAAACATGTTCACCAAGGGATAAATAGGTACTCGGGAGTTAGGTAACTGTTGTGGTTTGCATTCTGAGGAAATCCAGACATAGCCTCGTGGCGACTTTGGTAAAATGCGAAAAAACATGAGATATGAGAACAAAATAAGATGAGATTACCTGTCTTCTTCTTAAGACGAGCCTTCTCCACCCGGAGGACGAAGACGTATGTAAGGAGGCCGAGGTTGATGACCCCGGAGACCACCAGCAGGGTCACCAGGACCACTAGGGACTTCGTGAGTCCCTTGTCCCTGTGTGTCTGATTGAAGCAAACTCCCTGGATTGTGTAGAGTCCTCCTGGCAGCTGCTCCCTGGGGAACACCGAAGGTTCACTCACTCTCACCCCAATATTTACACAAATTATTGTTAAAAATATTAAATTTTAATAGTTTACCAATTTAATAGTTTTGCCCTACCTTGTTGGTACCACGTTGGTACCAAGCAGGTAGGGCACTCTGGGCCCCCTCCCATGTTGGTACCCAGCAGGTAGGGAAGGCTTGCCTACCTGACAGGTTCTGGGGAGTGTTGACCGTCCAGGTGGTGCTGGGGCCCGTGCGGATGCTGGCAGAGTTAAACTTGGCCGTGACCGCGTTCCCAAGCGGCCCCGTCACCACCGCTGCGTTCTGGAACACTGAGAGTGTTAGTGTGCGCCCTTGTTATTGGCCAGCGTCACACTGTTGGCTTAGGTGAAGAGCGTGGTATGTTAGCTGGTGATTAGGTTAGCTGGTGACTGGGTTAGGCGGTGACTGGGTTAGGCGGTGATTGGGTTAGCTGGTGACTGGGTTAGGCGGTGACTGGGTTAGGCGGTGACTGGGTTAGGTGGTGATTGGGTTAGGTGGTGATTGGGTTAGGCGGTGACTGGGTTAGACGGTGATTGGGTTAGGTGGTGACTGGGTTAGGTGGTGATTGGGTTAGGCGGTGACTGGGTTAGGCGGTGATTGGGTTAGTTGGTGACTGGATTAGGTGGTGATTGGGTTAGGCGGTGACTGGGTTAGGCGGTGATTGGGTTAGGTGGTGACTGGGTTAGGCGGTGATTGGGTTAGGTGGTGACTGGGTTAGGCGGTGATTGGGTTAGGCGGTGACTGGGTTAGGCGGTGACTGGGTTAGGTGGTGATTGGGTTAGGTGGTGATTGGGTTAGGCGGTGACTGGGTTAGGCGGTGATTGGGTTAGGTGGTGACTGGGTTAGGTGGTGATTGGGTTAGGCGGTGATTGGGTTAGGTGGTGACTGGGTTAGGTGGTGACTGGGTTAGGTGGTGATTGGGTTAGGCGGTGACTGGGTTAGGCGGTGATTGGGTTAGGTGGTGACTGGGTTAGGCGGTGATTGGGTTAGGTGGTGACTGGGTTAGGCGGTGATTGGATTAGGTGGTGACTGGGTTAGTGGTGATTGGGTTAGGTGGTGATTGGGTTAGGTGGTGATTGGGTTAGGCGGTGACTGGGTTAGGCGGTGATTGGGTTAGGTGGTGACTGGGTTAGGTGGTGATTGGGTTAGGCGGTGACTGGGTTAGGTGGTGATTGGGTTAGGCGGTGACTGGGTTAGGCGGTGACTGGGTTAGGTGGTGACTGGGTTAGGCGGTGATTGGGTTAGGTGGTGACTGGGTTAGGCGGTGATTGGATTAGGTAGTGACTGGGTTAGTGGTGATTGGGTTAGGTGGTGATTGGGTTAGTGGTGATTGGGGTTGTGTCTACATTGAGGTTTATGAAGGCAGGGTTAGATATAATGGAGGTGTGTTAAGAGAAAAGTATGTTCTTGACTATTTGTGCTCACAGTATTGAGTTCCAGCTCTTGGACCCCGACTGTTCATGCAGCAGCCGCCATTCGTCTACTGCTATGGCTCCTGACCTCTATTTTATCCTATCTACCTTGAAATAGGTGGAAGGATCCTGCCATCTATTTCCTGTCTACTTCATTCCATTAACAAACTAAACTTAACATGCGGTAGATTCCGTAGATTAAGAGGCGGGCCCAGGAGCTGAGTCTGATCCGCTACGACCACAATTGCCCAAGTCCGTCCTATGAGATACATCCCCTCCGGTTTAAACCAACTTCTAAAACCAACTACACAACTCATCTTTAATGAGTTACCTTCATTGCGAGGGCGAGGGCGCTGTTAGTGAGGTTGACCTGAGCGGTCAGCGTGACCTCTGCCATGGTGACAGAGGTCACGCTGGGCCTCAGTGTGACCTCGCGGCTCTCGAAGAGCTCCAGGGGCAGGTAACATCCGCTGTGGGTCTCGACCTCATGCGTACCTGCAAGATGGGAACATATTGGGCATCTATTGTTAAGAGAATGATCTTATTATTATTAGAGTCACCATCATCACCATCGCTATTGTCACCATCAACAACATCATCACTGTGACGGTATTCACGCCATCTGTGGAGCACTACCGACCACAATTCGTTTCGGAGGTGGGTCGACGACAACGAAGGGACTTGTCTTCTTACAAATTACGGCTGAATTGGTCGTTTGCCGTATGGCCGAAAATGGACGTAATTTGAAAATGAAAAGAAAAATTGAAAATATACTCTTTTTTCCAAAACAGTAAGTTAAGGGTCCTCTGGTAGGTTAGGTGGGCAGGAAATTCGCCTTAAATTTTAAAACGTCATGAAGAATGTTAATTGAAAGTTTCCTCTCCTAACCTTTCCGAGTAAGCCAGAGGACTCAAACAGAAAACGGGACACTACATCACTTTTGTGAGCCGATTTCATTTCATATTACGTCTATTTTTGGCCATAGCGCGCATACGAGCGAAAAGCGACGTTATTTTTAAGAGGACAGGTTGGCGAGCCGCCGGTTCACGTTCGGTTTTGCGATTTTGGATTTGATACTTTCGTTTGGCATTCCTCTTCAACGGTTCGGTTTGTACGACGCCTGGTTCACATATTGCCTTGGGTCACCAGGTTGTTGATAGCTTTTTTTTTTTTACGTGTTCTGACTGGTTCTCCCGGCGGGGTGACGGTGTTCGGGGGGCGGGCTTGGCCGAGAGGTGCCGGGGGTTGGCGGGTCTTGGTGGGCTCCTGGTGTGCCCTCAGCCGTGGTGGGCGGCCGGCTTCTGCTCTGCCGGGGAACACTGGAGGACTTTTTGCGTTTTAGTTGGGGCCGAGTTTTTGGTTTTGCTACGTGGTGTTCTCTGTGTGGAGAGAACACCCGCCCCACACAGAGAACACCACGTAGTAAAACCAAAAACTCGGCCCCAACTAAAACGCAAAAAGTCCTCCAGTGTTCCCCGGCAGAGCAGAAGCCGGCCGCCCACCACGGCTGAGGGCACACCAGGAGCCCACCAAGACCCGCCAACCCCCGGCACCTCTCGGCCAAGCCGGCCCCCCGAACACCGTCACCCCGTCGGGAGAACCAGCCAGAACACGCCAAAAAAAAATCTATCAACAATCCCGTGACCCAAGGCGATAAGTGCGCCAGGCGTCGTACAATCAGACCGCTGAAGAGGGATGCCAAACAGCAGTAGCAAAGCCAAAACGCGAAAACAGGACGTGATCCGGCGGCTGCCAGGCGGAGGAGGAGTCCAGACGTCCGCTTGGCGTCAAGGTTGAACCAGGAGTCCGTTGTTATTGTTACAAACAGCCTCCTGGTGCTGCGGAGCTCATTAACTGATTAATGTTTAACTGTTTAACGGAAACAAAGCCGCCAAAGATTGAGAAAAGATGTACAGGTTCGTAAGTGCTTTCGTGAATCTGCCCCCCCCCCCCCCCGGTTACTACTGGCTTGAAGAGGCCGTAACATTCATCATCGCCAAAGTCGTCATCACCATCATTATTGTCACCATCATTGTCACAAAGTAATATTTACATTACACCTTCCTAAGTATTTTCCTTCCAAACATTCAGCCGTATGAGTCCAAGGGCTCTGATTGGCTGCAGTTCACCAAGGGTGTGAAGAGGACGGCTCTGATTGGCTGCCTAATATACACACACACCTTCCTCATGAGTACAGACCTGCCTCATGAGTACACACCTGCCTCATGAGTACAGACCTGCCTTATGAGTACAGACCTGCCTCATGAGTACAGACCTGCCTTATGAGTACACACCTACCTTATGAGTACAGACCTGCCTCATGAGTACACACCTACCTTATGAGTACAGACCTGCCTCATGAGTACACACCTACCTTATGAGTACAGACCTGCCTCATGAGTACACACCTGCCTCATGAGTACACACCTGCCTCATGAGTACAGACCTGCCTCATGAGTACACACCTGCCTCATGAGTACACACCTGCCTCATGAGTACACACCTGCATCATGAGTACAGACCTGCCTCATGAGTACACACCTGCCTCATGAGTACACACCTGCCTCATGAGTACAGACCTGCCTCATGAGTACACACCTACCTCATGAGTACACACCTGCCTCATGAGTACACACCTGCATCATGAGTACAGACCTGCCTCATGAGTACACACCTGCCTCATGAGTACACACCTGCCTCATGAGTACACACCTGCCTCATGAGTACAGACCTGCCTCATGAGTACACATCTGCCTCATGAGTACACACCTGCCTCATGAGTACAGACCTGCCTCATGAGTACACACCTGCCTCATGAGTACAGACCTGCCTCATGAGTACACACCTACCTCATGAGTACACACCTGCCTCATGAGTACACACCTGCCTCATGAGTACACACCTGCCTCATGAGTACAGACCTGCCTCATGAGTACACATCTGCCTCATGAGTACACACCTGCCTCATGAGTACAGACCTGCCTCATGAGTACACACCTGCCTCATGAGTACACACCTGCCTCATGAGTACACACCTACCTCATGAGTACACACCTGCCTCATGAGTACACACCTGCCTCATGAGTACACACCTGCCTCATGAGTACAGACCTGCCTCATGAGTACACATCTGCCTCATGAGTACACACCTGCCTCATGAGTACACACCTGCCTCATGAGTACAGACCTGCCTCATGAGTACACATCTGCCTCATGAGTACACACCTGCCTCATGAGTACACACCTGCCTCATGAGTACACACCTGCCTCATCCGTACACACCTGCCTCATGAGTACACACCTGCCTCATGAGTACAGACCTGCCTTATGAGTACACACCTGCCTCATGAGTACAGACCTGCCTTATGAGTACACACCTACCTTATGAGTACACACCTGCCTCATGAGTACAGACCTGCCTTATGAGTACAGACCTGCCTCATGAGTACACACCTGCCTCATGAGTACACACCTGCCTCATGAGTACACACCTGCCTCATCCGTACACACCTGCCTCATGAGTACACACCTGCCTCATGAGTACAGACCTGCCTTATGAGTACACACCTGCCTCATGAGTACAGACCTGCCTTATGAGTACACACCTACCTTATGAGTACACACCTGCCTCATGAGTACAGACCTGCCTTATGAGTACAGACCTGCCTTATGAGTACACACCTGCCTCATGAGTACACACCTGCATCTCATTAATAATCCTACCAATATTATTATCATTACGTGTCATTATATTTTATTAATATTGTAATCATTAGTATAGTATTAATTGCATCATCATTATCATTACCTTGTGCAGACGTGTGGCGAGGAATGACCAGTAGAGTGAGGAAGGTCAAAGGTCGGGTCACCTTCATACTTCCTGTGGCACCTTCACTCTTGTCTTCCTCGGTGTCACTTGTCACCCAGACGTCACTGTCGGTGTCACTTGTCACCCAGACGTCACTGTCGGTGTCACTTGCGTCACCCAGACGTCACTGTCGGTGTCACTTGCGTCACCCAGGTGTCACTGTTGGTGTCACTGTCCCTTTTCAATTTTTTTATCTTGCGATTCCCCAGCTGATCTCTGAAGGTTCTCTCAGTCACTATACGTCACTGTAAGTGACAGCAGGCCACCAGGGGAGGGCTATTGTGGATCACTGTGAATCACTGCGAGTGACTGCACGGATCACTGTATGCCACAGTCGACGGTCGAGGACAGAACTAGAGCAGTGCTCAGGAGACGGGAGAAGGAGACGGACTGACAGGCTACACCCGCTCCTCCGGATGCTTACACCGACGTGCGTCCGGGCCGTGACGCAAAGGTTTTCCCAAGAAAGTCCAAGACGCGTGTCTTGTCGTGCTGGCGTAGTGACGATACTGCCGGCTCCGGGGCGGCGCGGAGGAAGCAGCGTCGGAGCGCCTATACGCTATATTTGCACGGTGTTCATCATCCGGTGAGTGCAAGGACCTAGATGAGCTTCAGGAGTGGCCAAGCGAATGGTTGCTGGAATTCAATACCACCAAGTGTAAGGTAATGATGATGGGAAAAACAGAGAGGAGACCAGAGGCAGCTGCAGGATAAGGGGAAGGCAGCTGCAGCATAAGGGGAAGGCAGCTGCAGCATAAGTGGGAAGGCAGCTGCAGCATAAGGGGAAGGCAGCTACAGCATAAGGGGAAGGCAGCTACAGCATAAAGAGAAGGCAGCTACAGCATAAGGGGAAGGCAGCTGCAGCATAAGGGGAAAGCAGCTACAGCATAAAGAGAAGGCAGCTACAGCATAAGGGGAAGGCAGCTACAACATAAGGGGAAGGCAGCTGCAGCATAAAGGGAAGGCAGCTGCAGCATATGGGGGAAGGCAGCTGCAGCATAAGGGGAAGGCAGCTACAGCATAAGGGGAAGGCAGCTACAGCATAAGGGGAAGGCAGTTGCAGCATATGGGGAAAGGCAGCTGCAGCATAAGGGGAAAGGCAGCTACAGCATAAGGGGAAGGCAGCTACAGCATAAGGGGAAGGCAGCTACAGCATAAAGAGAAGGCAGCTACAGCATAAGGGGAAGGCAGCTACAGCATAAGGGGAAAGCAGCTACAGCATAAAGAGAAGGCAGCTACAGCATAAGGGGAAGGCAGCTACAACATAAGGGGAAGGCAGCTGCAGCATAAGGGGAAGGCAGCTGCAGCATATGGGGGAAGGCAGCTACAGCATAAGGGGAAGGCAGTTACAGCATAAGGGGAAGGCAGCTACAGCATAAGGGGAAGGCAGCTACAGCATAAGGGGAAGGCAGCTACAGCATAAAGGGAAGGCAGCTACAGCATAAGGGGAGGGCAGCTGCAGAAAATGGGGGAAGGCAGCTACAGCATAAGGGGAAGGCAGCTACAGCATAAGGGGAAGGCTGCTACAGCATAAGGGGAAGGCTGCTACAGCATAAGGGGAGGGCAGCTACAGCATAAGGGGAAGGCAGCTACATCATAAGGGGAAGGCAGCTACAGCATAAGGGGAAGGCAGCTACAGCATAAGGGGAAGGCAGCTACAGCATAAGGGGAAGGCAGCTGCAGCATAAGTGGGAAGGCAGCTGCAGCATATGGGGAAGGCAGCTACAGCATAAGGGGAAGGCAGCTACAGCATAAGGGGAAGGCAGCTGCAGCATAAGGGGAAGGCAGCTACAGCATAAGGGGAGGGCAGCTGCAGCATATGGGGGAAGGCAGCTGCAGGAATCAGAAAGAGAAAAGGATCTCTCTTCAGGAAGAGAGAAGGAGTACCTAAGCAACAGGAGACAACGAGTCAGTGTGAGGGGTGAGGTCTCAGATTGGCGAGACGTTACAAGTGGAGTCCCGCAGGGGTTAGTCCTTGGACCTATACTGTTTCTGGTATATGTAAATGATCTCCCAGAGAGTATAAACTCGTTTCTCTCAATGTTTGCTGATGATGCAAAACTTATGAGGAGGATTGAAACAGAGGATGATAGTAGGAGGCTACAGGATGACCTAGACAGACTGAGTGAATGGTCCAACAAATGGCTGTTGAAGTTCAAACCGAGTAAATGCAAAGTAATGAAACTAGGCAGTGGAAACAGGAGGCCAGACACAGGATACAGAATAGGAGATGAAGTACTTAATGAAACGGACAGAGAGAAAGATCTAGGAGTTGAACATCAGAACAGCCTTCAGGAACCTGTGTAAGGAATCATTCAGAATCTTGTATACCACATATGTAAGACCAATCCAGGAGTATGCGGCCCCAGCATGGAGCCCGTACCTTGTCAAGCACAAGACGAAGCTGGAAAAATGGAGATGAATAAATTCCTATGGGATATACATTGAGACACAGAACTCGGAACCAAGTCCGTACAAGACATGATGGACTATGTCACCCAAAAATGTCAGGAGGCTGTAAGCAGGTTTGTCCCAGCCCAACAGGAAAAAACAGAGAAGCAAAGGAAGAATCCGTAGTTTAATAGGGAATGTATGAAAGCAAAGGAGCTGAACAAAAGGGCATGGAGGAACTTCCGTAATAACAGAACACCAGAAAGTAGAGAGAGATACCAGAGAACCAGGAACGAGTATGTTAGTGTGAGAAGAGCAGCTGAGAAAAGGTATGAAAATGATATAGCTAATAAAGCCAAGACCGAACCAAAGCTACTACACAGTCACATCAGGAGGAAGACAACAGTGAAGGAACAGGTGATAAAACTTAGGGTGGGCGAGGACAGGTACACAGAGAATGACAAAGAGGTGTGTGAAGAACTCAACAAAAGGTTCCAGGAGGTCTTTACAATAGAACAGGGAGAAGTCACGGCGATAGGAGAGGTGGCAGCAAACCATGTGACCTTGGAAAGGTTCGAAATTACAAGAGATGAGGTCAAGAAGCACCTATTGGAGCTGGATGTGAGAAAAGCTGTTTCGCTGGATGGAATCTCACCATGGGTATTGAAAGAGTGTGCAGGAGCACTTTGCTTGCCACTCTCCATAGTGTATAGTAGGTCACTGAAAACGGGAGACCTACCAGAAGTATGGAAGACTGCTAATGTAGTACCAATATTTAAAAAGGGTGACAGACAAGAGGCACTGAACTACAGGCCAGTGTCCTTAACTTGTATACCATGCAAGGTGATGGAGAAGATTGTGAGAAAAAACCTAGTAACACATCTGGAGAGAAGAGACTTCGTGACAACCCATCAACATGGGTTCAGGGAGGGTAAATCTTGCCTTACAGGCTTGATAGAATTCTATGATCAGGTGACAAAGATTAAGCAAGAAAGAGAAGGATGGGCGGACTGCATTTTTTTGGACTGTCGGAAAGCCTTTGACACAGTACCCCATAAAAGGTTGATGCATAAGCTGGAGAAACAGGCAGGAGTAACTGGTAGGGCGCTCCAGTGGATAAGGGAGTACCTAAGCAATAGGAAGCAGAGAGTTATAGTGAGGGGTGAGACCTCAGAATGGCGTGAAGTCACCAGTGGAGTCCCACAGGGCTCTGTGCTTGGACCTATCCTGTTTCTGATATACGTAAATGATCTCCCAGAGGGTATAGACTCATTCCTCTCAATGTTTGCTGACGACGCCAAAATTATGAGAAGGATTAAGACAGAGGAGGACAGCTTGAGGCTTCAAGAAGACCTGGACAAGCTGCAGGAATGGTCGAACAAATGGATGTTAGAGTTTAACCCAAGCAAATGTAATGTAATGAAGATAGGGGTAGGAAGCAGGAGACCAGATACAAGGTATCACTTGGGAGATGAAATACTTCAAGAGTCAGAGAGAGAGAAAGACCTGGGGGTTGATATCACGCCAGACCTGTCCCCTGAAGCTCATATCAAGAGGATAACATCAGCAGCATATGCCAGGTTGGCTAACATAAGAACGGCCTTTAGAAACTTGTGTAAGGAATCTTTCAGAACATTATATACCACATATGTCAGACCAATCCTGGAGTATGCGGCTCCAGCATGGAGTCCATATCTAGTCAAGCATAAGACTAAACTGGAAAAGGTTCAAAGGTTTGCCACCAGACTAGTACCCGAGCTGAGAGGTATGAGCTACGAGGAGAGACTACGGGAATTGAACCTCACTTCGTTGGAAGACAGAAGAGTTAGGGGGGACATGATCACCACATTCAAGATTCTCAAGGGAATCGACAGGGTTGATAAAGACAGGCTATTTAACACAAGGGGCACACGCACTAGGGGACACAGGTGGAAACTGAGTGCCCAAATGAGCCACAGAGATATTAGAAAGAACTTTTTTAGTGTCAGAGTGGTTGACAAATGGAATGCATTAGGAAGTGATGTGGTGGAGGCTGACTCCATACACAGTTTCAAGTGTAGATATGATAGAGCCCAATAGGCTCAGGAACCTGTACACCTGTTGATTGACGGTTGAGAGGCGGGACCAAAGAGCCAGAGCTCAACCCCCGCAAGCACAACTAGGTGAGTACAACTAGGTGAGTACACACACACACACACACACACACAAGATGGTTCAAACGTGGGCGAGGGAACAGAAGGAGTGGGACCAGGACGAAGGAATACAAAGAGGGGAAAAGTGAACTTCTAATGGTCCTAAACCCGTCAGAAGCTAAGGTTCAAAGCCTGCAAGCACACCAAGGTAAGGAAAGTCACACACACACACACACACACACACACACACACACACACACACACACACACACACACACACACACACACACACACACACACACACACACACACACACACACACACACACACACACACACGGCTGGAGAAGCATTCCTGTACCTCTGGAGTGCAAGGTAACTATGGATCATTCTTCCCCTTGGATGCTGGCAGGCCAGGAGAAGAGTCAGCATCTTAACCACGACACACAGCACGCGACCCCAGCCTCCCTCCCGGGGTCACGCGCGACCCCAGCCTCCCTCCCAGGGTCACGCGCGACCCCAGCCTCTCTCCCGGGGTCACGCGCGACCCCAGCCTCCCTCCCGGGGTCACGCGCGACCCCAGCCTCTCTCCCGGGGTCACGCGCGACCCCAGCCTCCCTCCCAGGGTCACGCGCGACCCCAGCCTCTCTCCCCGGGGTCACGCGCGACCCCAGCCTCCCTCCCGGGGTCACGCGCGACCCCAGCCTCTCTCCCGGGGTCACGCGCGACCCCAGCCTCTCTCCGGGGTCACGCGCGTGCGGGTTAAGTACCTAGTTAAGAGGGGGTCCAATGAGCCCAGATATGTAGTTTTCTCTCTCTCTCTCCCCTCACCTTCATCTCCCCACCTCTCCCCTTCCTCCCTCCATCCCCCATCTCCCCCCCCCCTTCCTTCTCTCTCACATTCATCTTCCATTCTCGAAAGTCTTGTATTCAAGAAAAATTGACCATCGGTTCAAAACATTTGAAATCTTGAAAAACAAAACCAAAAAATCCATCAGATGTATATAAAAAAGCCGAGTCCTTAACAAACATATACTTTTGTGTATCATTAAACGTATAATTTTAAAATAAAAAAATGCGGAATTCATATAACGAAAATAATACTTCGAACTTCGCCCTCTCCCAAGGTCAGTGGATATACCTGATCTACTCAACATAATGACATAACTGGGTATATATGATATAATTCCCCTTCGCTCGCCACCACTCTCATTTATAACCCATTTTTTCCCCCCGTTTCCTTAGCAGCCCTTTTACCCCCTCTTCTCGGTGCCCGGACGAGGGGGGGCGCACGCCCCTGGGTGCCCAGACGAGGGGGGCACACGCCCCTGGGTGCCCAGACGAGGGGGGCGCACGCCCCTGGGTGCCCAGACGAGGGGGGCACACGCCCCTGGGTGCCCAGACGAGGGGGGCGCACGCCCCTGGGTGCCCAGACGAGGGGGGCACACGCCCCTGGGTGCCCAGACGAGGGGGGCGCACGCCCCTGGGTGCCCAGACGAGGGGGGCACACGCCCCTAGGTGCCCGGACGAGGGGGGCACACGCCCCTGGGTGCCCAGACGAGGGGGGCGCACGCCCCTGGGTGCCCAGACGAGGGGGGCGCACGCCCCTGGGTGCCCAGACGAGGGGGGCGCCAGAGCTGGCCAAACACAGCCTCCTGGGGGCCACAGGTCCACACACCTCCTCCCAATATTTACTCTCAGTGCGAAAATTATCTAAATATATTTTCTAAGTGTTTCCCGAGACTGGACTTTGGTCGGGCATTCAGCGTACGTTTCAGAATGTTACGTTCATGTGGGTCCACAGTCACTAGGGCCTGAACGATGCTCACGGGGACGGCAAGAGTTCTATCAACGGTACTTGCAATATATTTGCAATGGATGACCCTCGCAAGTGCAACGCGGAGCAGATTAGGGATTAATTTCCCCTTCATATGACGTTGAGGGTTAAGGGGGCGTTGAACGAGGGCTTGGAGAGGGCAATTAGGAGGAGGTGGGCATCAGGTGTTTTCCTTGGCGTGGGCACGTGGGTACGAGGGCCTCCACTAGTCTTGTACCCCCTTGTTCTCGACTATTACTTCCGCGTCTGCAGGGGGGGGGGGACTAGTTTGTTGAGACAAGTCACTAATGTGTTTATTGTTCTTCGTTTTCTATAACCAGTAACGGCATGCAGTTACCCCCTTTGTGTGAGGTAAAGATGAGGCATTGTGACGAGGAAGTGTCTCAGCCAGTATGACTATGTAGCACTTGGAAGGGATGTGAGGACAAGGAGCTGGGATGTGAGGACAAGGAGCTGGGATACGAGGACAAGGAGCTGGGATATGAAGACAAGAAGCTGGGATATGAGGACAAGAAGCTAGGATGTGGGGACAAGGAGCTGGGATATGAGGACAAGAAACTGGGATATGAGGACAAGAAGCTAGGATGTGAGGACAAGGAGCTGGGATATGAGGACAAGGAGCTGGGATATGAGGACAAGGAGCTGGGATATGAGGACAAGGAGCTGGGATATGAGGACAAGAAGCTGAGATATGAGGACAAGGAGCTGGGATATGAGGACAAGGAGCTATGATATGAGGACAAGGAGCTGGGATATGAGAACAAGAACTGGGATATGAGGACAAGAAACTGGGATATGAGGGACAAGCAGCTGGGATATGAGGACAAGGACTGGGATATGAACACAAAGTAACGGTCTTCAGGGGGCCACAATATATCAAGCATTTACCTGCCTATACTTACGAAGTCTGTACATCTTTATTTAATCGCTGGGGTTTGATTCCTACATTTATATTGAACAGTCTAGGACCGGAGGACCGGAATGACGACTTCTATAACACCAATAATATCGGCCTGTGAAGCTCCCAAGCCGGTAAACCGGTTAAAAATTAGACTAAGCCGTCATGAATGAGGATAGGTGTTCTGGTTTCATATGTGAACACGTAAATATTTGGATAGATTCCTATCCCGAAGCTGAGTAGAGGGGACAAGGGAGCGATATTTGCTGCCTATCTGTCTGCCGGCCAAACATCTCGTATCTCCGGGAGAGACTTTATGATACAACTTAGAGATGGCCAGCGGGAGCCCCTCAGTGTGTTGGCAAACTTTGGCAGACGTGGTTGTTCCGTAACTCAGGAGCAGGCATAGACCAACTTCAAGTTACATCGCGATATACAAACGTCGGGTCGGTTTTGTATATACGAATCTCAAAGAGGCTTGGTTTATACGGACGTAAAGAGACTGTAGCTGGTTATATACGGACGTAAAGATACTGTAGCTGGTTATATACGGACGTAAAGATACTGTAGCTGGTTATATACGGACGTAAAGATACTGTAGCTGGTTATATACGGACGTAAAGATAACTTGGTTTATGGCAAACCCAAGATAGCTTAGTGTATATGAACAGGAAGTTTTTTGGTGGTATATAGTGAGAGGTGAAGGAAGCTAAGCCTGAGAGGGCCTCGAGACGACCCGCTGAGTGTCTCGTGAGGGCAACTGTCGAGTGTGTAAATCCTGTCAAGTCTCTGTGGGTGACAGAAGGTGGACGGTGATCACCACTTGAGCTAAGCCCCTTCCCCTCACCTGGGGCCCTTCCCCTCACCTGGGGCCCCTCCCCTCACCTGGGCCCCCCTCCCCTCACCTGGGGCCCCCTCCCCTCACCTGGGGGGACCCTACCCTCACCTGGGGGCCCCTCCCCTCACCTGGGGCCCCTCCCCTCACCTGGGGCCCCTCCCCTCACCTGGGGCCCCTCCCCTCACCTGGGGCTCCCTCCCCTCACCTGGGGGCCCCTACCCTCACCTGGGGGCCCCTCCCCTCACCTGGGGCCCCTCCCCTCACCTGGGGGCCCCCTCCCCTCACCTGGGGTCCCCTCCCCTCACCTGGGGGCCCCTCCCTCACCTGGGAGCCCTTCCCTCACCTGGGGGCCCCTCCCCTCACCTGGGGCCCCTCCCCTCACCTGGGGGCCCCCTCCCCTCATCTGGGACCCCTCTCTTCACCTGGGGCCCCCTCCCTCACCTGGGGCCCCCTCCCCTCACCTGGGGTCCCCTCCCCTCACCTGGGTCCCCCTCCCCTCACCTGGGGCCCCCTCCCTCACCTGGGGGCCCTTCCCCTCACCTGGGGCTCCTCATCTGGGGGGCCCCTCCCCTCACCTGGGGCTCCTCATCTGGGGGGCCCCTCCCTCACCTGGGGCTCATCATCTGGGGGGCCCCTCCCCTCACCTGGGGCTCCTCATCTGGGGGGCCCCTCCCACACCCTGGGGCTCCTCATCTGGGGGCCCCTCCCATCACCTGGGGCTCCTCATCTGGGGGCCCCTCCCCTCACCTGGGGCTCCTCATCTGGGGGCCCCTCCCCTCACCTGGGGGCCCCTCCCTCACCTGGGGGCCCTTCCCCTCACCTGGGGCTCCTCATTTGGGGGGCCCCTCCCCTCACCTGGGGCTCCTCATCTGGGGGGCCCCTCCCCTCACCTGGGGCTCATCATCTGGGGGGCCCCTCCCCTCACCTGGGGCTCCTCATCTGGGGGGCCCCTCCCAACACCTGGGGCTCCTCATCTGGGGGCCCCTCCCATCACCTGGGGCTCCTCATCTGGGGGCCCCTCCCCTCACCTGGGGCTCCTCATCTGGGGGCCCCTCCCCTCACCTGGGCCCTCCTCCCCTCACCTGGGCCCCCCTTCATCACCTGGGGGCCCCCTTCATCACCTGGGGGCCCCCTCCCCTCAAGTGGGAGCACTCCTTCACCCCGGAGGCCCCTTTCACCAGGGGGGCCCCTACCTCATATGGACCCCCCCCCCCCCCCGTCACCCGCAGAATATCCCTGCCCCAAAAAAAAACTCTCCCCACTCCCTTTCCTCTCCCCTCACCATTTCCTCCCCCCTAAACACTCTCCCCCACACCTCCTCCCCACACACCCCCTCCCCCCGCCCCACTGACGGGACAAATTATGTACTTGAACACTATGCGCTCATCCGGGACTCTGGGTGGCACCTATTTTTAGACCTTTGGACGTCATGGTTGAGACTCGTTACTCATGAGCTGCGGTTTGGCAGCAATGAACGTTTTGTGATAAATTGTGTGTGTGTACTCACCTAGTTGTGCTTGCGGGGGTTGAGTTCCGGCTCTTTGGTCCCGCCTCTCAACTGTCAAACAACTGGTGTACACATTCCTGAGCTTATTAGGCTCTATCATATCTACATTTGAAACTGTGTATGGAGTCAGCCTCCACCACATCACTGTTTAATGCATTCCATTTGTTAACTATTCTGACCCTAAACAAATTCTTTCTAATATCTCTATGGCTCATCTGGATACTCAGTTTCGACCTGCGTCCCTTTGTGTTAAATTGTCTTAATCTACCACTATCAATTCATCTTTTTTTTAGATGAGGGCTCCAAGATGAGGCGGCATACTCTAAGACTGGCCTCACACAGGCGGTATACAGTGATCTAAAAGCCTCCTTATTCAGGTTCCTGAAGGATGTTCTGACTTTTGCCAGAGTAGAGTATGCCGCTGATGTTATTCTATTTATATGAGCCTCTGGAGTCAGGTTCGGTGTTATATCCACTCCCAGATCCTTTTCTCTAGTTGTTATAGGGAGGTAGTTTCCCTTCATCATGTATTGGCTTTCGGTCTTCTGGCTCCTGATCCCATTTCCATCACCTTACTCTTAATGGTGTTGAACTCTTGCAGCCATTTCTCGGACCAGCTCTGCAACCTGTTCAAGTCATCCTGGAGAATCTTACTATCATCATCAATCCTCCTCATTAGTTTTATACCATATGCAAACGTTGACATATAAGACTCAACTCCTGCAGTCAAGTCGTTTACATAACTGAGGAAAAGTATGGGACCCAGGAGTGATCCTTGAGACACCCCGCTTGTTACTCTACGCCAGTCCGACTCCTCGACCCTCCCTGTCACTCTCTGACACCTGTCTGTCAGGTAATTCCTTACCCATGTTAATGCGTTACCGCCTACTCCCGCCTGTCTCTCAAGTTTGTATAGTAACCTCCTGTGTGGTACTGTATCAAAGACTTTTTGGCAGTCCAGAAATATGCAATCTGCCTATCCTTCTCTGTCTTGCCATATTTTTCGTTACCTTATCATAAAACTCCAGGATATTCGTCAGGCATGAC